GGCTTTTCCATTATATACAGTGAAAAGGAGTGGGGTCCTCACCGGCGAAGTCCGCGTTGATTGGGCGCCAGGCGGAGGGGGCGCGGCCATCAAGGGAAAGCGGGGAGGGCGGGGGTTGGAGACAGGAGAAGTAGAGGCTAAGCTCCACACTCCCCAAAATTAAATTAGGGAATGGCAGGAATTTTGTGTGTGTGTGATTTTAAAAAATCTTCTCCTATCCTCCAGTAATCTTAAATATTTAAAAGCACTGGGATGAAAAAATTCAGCTTTTACACTCTCTACAGCTGCCTTAGCCTGGGATGTGAGAAGCAATTTGCTTGGGGAAAAAACACTCTTTCATAACAGACAGATCTTTGGGCTGGGTCATTTCAAATAATGTTTTTTTAATTTTTTTTATATTTTTTTTAAAGAGACACACTGGCCTGTTTGTGTAGCCTGCTCAACCATGTTCATTCAGTTAGTTTAGGATGCCTCCAGGCTGTATATAGAGAGGAAGTTCGCTCATCTAGCTTTGAGTAGCATGTGCTCCATTCAAGAACAACTCTCATTGTGTATCTGACATCAGCAATGTTCTCAAGGGTGTTCAACAGAAGATGATCAGTTTAATTTTTCAGGGAACTTACATTTCTTACTAAGGACTCTCAAAAACTACAGTCTCACAGAGGTCACAGGGATACTTTCTGGAAGACCACTTGTCAGGCAAGGCTGTTGACATTGATGGACATGCCCACTTTGTTCTTCCGAAAGTGGCAGACACTACTTCCGGGCCGGTTTCCACTTCTTGATCCTGCTGCTTCTGAGAAAAGAGATGATTTTGTGCTCCGAGTAGTGGTTGGAAAAAGGGACCCAAAGAGGGGGGTGAGGGTCACCTCTGAGGAAGGCTTTGACAGGGTTTTCTGGGAAGGAGGAGGAGATCTTCAAGGAAAGAGCCACCATGGACAGCCTCGGTGGTCATGGTTCTCTGTCGTCATCTTTGTCAGCCCTGGAGAAAAACGTGGCCAAGCTACTGCTGATCGACATCGACCACATTGCCCCACTGGCGGGCCAGGAGTAACAGACCATGAAACCCTCTGCAGCTATTTTTCACCTTCCTCTTGTGAATTTTCACATTATCCTAATTATTGAGGATAGAAGGGGTGAGATAAGAAAAACAAGCATCGCCTCATGGATCAGAGAACCAGAAAAACTCCTTATATGGGGAAAATAACTACAACTAATTCACGAGCACTTCAAAAAAAATTATTATTGATATTTTTTACGTATCCCCATAGGAGATGTAAAATTTCTGGAAAATGTTAAGCTGTATAAAACGGCTTTGGAAAATACAAGTCCACTTCATCAGGATCAAGGTTCTGACTCCCGGAAGTAACACTCTCACAAAGAAAGGGTCCTTTTGCAGCAGCCCTAAGTTGAATATTCTTATTCTCCTTTTTAAAATATAAAATAAAAATAAACCTTTAATTACATTTTCCGGCTGGACTCTCTAGGAATTCATTTATCGTACTGTTTTTTTTAAAAAAAGCTCCTATCCTCAAGTGACCTCAAATGCTGAAAAGAGATGGGATGAAAATTCCAGCTTTTACGCTCTCGATGGAGAGACAGCTTCCTTATCCTGTTGAAGGTACAGTATTTACTTGGGGAAACTACCTTTCGTAACAGACAGACCAGCCATCTTTGGGCTGGATAATCTCAAATAACATGTTCTTATTTTTATTTTTTATGAAAGAGACACACTGGCCTGTTTATGTTGCCTGCTCAACCATGTCATTCAATTAGTTCCGATGCCTCCAGGCCGTATATACAAGGGAAATTCACTCATTCCGCTTGGAGGAGCATGTGCTCCATTCAAAAACAACTCTCACTGTGTGTATCTGATCCCAAGCTGTGGGGTTAAAAAAAGGAGCCCCTTTTTCGGGAGGCGATGTTTGGGTCCATGGTTCCCTTTCCCAAATAAAAAGGCCTCTTTGAGTAGCACACGGCTCTCAATTCCAGAACAACCGGCCTCCTGTCTCTCTGAAACCAACAGGTGTGTTTCCCTAGGACATGCACCCACTGTGATTTATCATGGAGCACCCCAAACTCTGCCACGGCTAGCCGGAAAGTTGGGAGCGAGACCTTGCCTTTTAAAATGTCATTTTAGGGATCCTGCCCCAGAGGGTTGGATGCTTCTGGGCATGCATCCAACCCTCTCAGCGCTTGGACAAGTTACTTTTTAAAAAAAAAAAATTTGGAGGCCGGCTTCCAGATCCAACCGGGTTCCTCATTATTTTTATATACTGTACTGTACATTTGCAATCTCCCATCCCGGCTGGCGGTGGCTCCACTTCGCCTGCCCAGCAGCTCCAGGGAGGAGGAGGAGAAAGCCGGGAGGTGGGGTTTGGGGATCGGGAGGAAAGGGAGGGCGAAGCGGCTGCTATTCCCTGCCTCCCCCCCTTTTTTTTTCTTTATTTTTTTTTCCCTTTCTTTCTCTCTCGCCTGGCCTTCCTCGGCTCTTGCCCCGGAGATGCCCGGCGCCAGTGCGCGCGATCCCTGGGGCATTGCAGCCAAGGGCGCCTCTCGCCTCTAGAGGAAATAGGAAATAAACAAGAAAGGAAAAAAAGAAAAAAGAAAAGAAGTTGGCCAAGTCTTTCCAGGCTGGTCGGTGGCTATTTTGTTTCCCAAGAAGACAGATCCGGATTTGATCGCCTTCCCGATCCCCTCCGGGGGACGCGCGCCTGTCTCCTCTCTCTCTCCATCCACGGCTGGTTTTCCACGGACCGATCCTGCTGCTTTGGTTTGAAAAGGGTGGTGGTGGGGGGAGAGAAAGCGGATGATTCTCCTCTCCAAGGGGCATCATCAGCAACAGGAGAAGGAGGCGGCCAAGGGGACTCGAGAAGGAGGGTGAGGAGGGTCGCCTATGCGGGAGGCTCGGCGGGGCTCCTGCGCCAGATCCGGGGAGGAGGCGATCCTGAAGGGGGGAGCCAGCATGGAGGGCGGCGGCGGGTCATCATCCTCCTCGTCCTTGTCGGTCCTGGAGAAGAACGTGGCCGAGCTGACGGTGATGGACGTCTACGACCTGGCCTCGCTGGTGGGCCACGAGTTCGAGCGCCTGATCGACCAGCACGGCGGCGAGGCCGTCGCCCGCCTCCTGCCCAAAGTGGTCCGGGTGCTGGAGATCCTGGAGGTGCTGGTCAGCCGCAACCACATCGCCCCGGAGGTGGAGGAGCTGCGCCTCGAGCTGGACCGGCTGCGCCTCGAGCGGGCGGATCGCATCGAGAAGGAGCGCAAGCACCAGAAGGTGGGAGGGAGAGGGAGGCTGGAGAGGATGGGGGGGACACCGGATGGAGAGGGGGTTGGGATCCCCAATTGCCATTCCTGCATCATCATCATCATCATCATCCACGCCGAGCTGGAGGGGACCCTAGGGGTCATGGAGTCCAGCCCCTCTCAAGGAGGCCCAGAGGAGGATTCGAACTCCCAACCTTCTGGCTCCACAGCCGGAGACCACAACCGCTGAGCTATCCAGCAGTTTGAATGCGTATGATATTTGTCTAATGCTTTTTTAAAATATTGTGATCATTTACAATTTGGCTTTCCAAAGTGCACCTCGTGGCGCAGTGGTTAAAACCGCTGTCCTGCAGCCGAAACTGTGCTCACCGCCCGGGGTTCGATCCCAGGTAGCCCACTCGAGGTTCACTCAGCCTTCCATCCTTCCGAGGTCAGTCAAATGAGGACCCAGCTCGCTGGGGCTGGGGGCAATGTGTAGCCTGCATAACTAACTTGTAAACCGCCCAGAGAGTGCTTGAAGTGCTGTGGGGCAGTATATAAGCAGCGCTGTGCCACCTTGTGCAAAATTTGGGATTAATCGGGGGGGGAAATGTCCCAGGAGAGAGGCAGATTTCAAGCTACCAGGAAGCCCTTTCTACAGAAAGGGAAAATAATCTGAGTGGATTTATTTATATGGGAACATTTGGGTCATGCCATTGTGGAATTCCACCTACCGCTCAAAATAGACCCGACAGTGTAGAAATGGCTTAAATATAGTACAGTATTTTATTCTTTTTTTGTTTTGTTACATTTATATTCCAGCTTTCTTCTGCAGCACCAAGAATCATAAGCAGGCGTTTTGAGTGCCTGCCCCTTAACATTATTTTCCAGAATGGAGATTTGTTTCTAGAAAAAGAGGTGCTTCTGATGATGAGCAAAAGGCCTGTCCATCATCAGTGATGAATACTTAGGCAGGGTATCAATCTTCAACACTCTTAATCTGGCTGGAGGGCTTCAGCAGACTATTGTGTTAGCATGATTTGGCATTTTAAAAAATGTCTTGGCAGCCCGCCTGTTTGCTGTCAATCTCCAGTGAGAGCTATCCGAAGTGTGTATAGCCTCAAAATAGATAAAATAGAAAACAGGGTGTTCCTAGAGGCTCTGTTACCTTTGAAACAAAAGACCTTTCTCATTCTTATTCCAAATACTCTGATAAATAAATGCAACATTTTATCATTGATTATGTTTATATGCCATCTTTTCCCAAATAAGCACAAAGTCTACATTTGGTGTGACTCCCATTCATTCATTCACAAGAAACCTGTGAAGTGGATGATGCCGAGAGGGGATTCAAGGCCGCTTTGTAAGCTGCATAGAGATTTGATTCACAGTCATCAAACCGCCCACATTATTGTACTATTCTGGTTTACAGTAGTTCTCTGCACTTGTGCACAGGCGATTTCTGCTTATTTCTTCATTTTGACATGCTCTGGGGCTTTTTCTCGGCCTTGGATTTAAGATCCGAAGTTTCTTGGTTTCTAAATTCCATATATAGAGGCTTCCCCATAAGACAGAGGGATGTGGTCAATGATTGTAGGGTTCGAACATTTATTTATACCAGAGTTTGGAAATATTCCACTTCTGGACTACAATTCCCAGAATGCTTCATCTGACACTGACACTTGTAACACATCCAAAGAACAATTGGGAGTGGTAGTCTGAAAAAGTAATTTCTCCAAGCGATGTTTTTTTTTAATCCTGGGGAGGGGAGAGAGCAGGTTGTGAGATGAAGCCAAAATAACGTCTCTAGCTTGGGATGCTAATTTTATGCATCTTGATTTGCGCGCTACTTTGACTTCAGGCAGCAAAATATTTTGGGTCAGCACTGCTAGGTTTAGCTCTCCTAGTGGAATTATACTCTGAACTGACGTGAGCCTCTGATTAGGCTGCACAAGAGAAGGGGCAACGGGAGACTAAGAGCTTGTCAACAGCGCCTGGAAAAATCGCAGCCCCTTGACTCACTTCTCCTTCCCTGCTCAAAATACATTTATTGTGTAACAATAATCAGGTTGTGAGTGGGTGGCTGTTCCAAGAGGACACACAGTAATTGAAGCCTCTGGAATGAGGATCAGGGTGTTAAATTCAGCTCAATCCGGGGTGGGGTGGGTTAACAGTCCTGTGTTAACCTCGTTAATTTGGCCCTCCGTCTATCCTTAGAAAAAACATGGCTAAATTTAACATTGCAGCCATTGGGCTCCCTATAAAAAGGGGGTGAAGGCTCACGCTAGATTTATTTTAAGCCCAAACCGGAGAAACAGGGGGTGAAATTAACGTGGTGCTGTACAACTGTCTAGCATCTCACAGCCAGCAAGTCTAGGAGTTAGAGAGCCAAAGAGTAAACCTCCACGGTGAAAGTTTTGCCAGGATTTGAAATGGGGCAGGGCACTCAATTCATTGGCTCTATGAATCATTTCCAGGCTTAGGACAGGATGATGAGGATGATATGCTTTGTGTATGTTCGTGCAGAGGAAGATGGCCCTTCCTTATCCCTAGTTTGACATGTTTTCACGTGGTTTCCCCTTCCCACCCCTCCGCAGCCAGCACTGCAAAAAAAAGGGACTGTTTTAATTCCTTTTAGCTCACTAGTTTTGAAACCAAAGGCAGGAAGAAATAGAGCGAGGTGGAAGGAGAGGGGGGGAGAGTGAATCTGTTCAGGAGTCAGGAAATCTAACCCCCCCACCCCAAGCTCACTAGTTTTGAAACCAAAGGCAGGAGGAAATAGAGCGGGGTGGAAGGAGGGGGGGGGTAGAGTGAATCTGTTCAGGAGGCAGGAAATCTGACCCCCCCCACCCCCAAAAAGGGGGGAAATTTAGGAATATCATCCCAGAACACACGAGCATTTCATATTGAGCATTATGGGAAGGGTGCTCTATTGTCCAACTTTTTTTCATCGGATGAACTACTGGCAATAAGGATGTTTGCCAGGCAGAGTTGCCAACTGATTGCTGTGCTATGTGCTCCTGCGCCTTTAAGAGCAGCAGAGACCCACAAGTGATGGGTTTTGCTGGTTGATTTAATTGCCCAAGGATGCCAGCCTTCTTACCTCCCTCCCCTTTCTCTCTCTCTGTCACACACACACACACAAACACACACACACAGAGAGAGCTATAGCAGTTTGATTGCCATTTGAATGGACAGGGAAATACAGAATGCTCGGAAGTAGACTTTGGTGAGAAACCTAGATTTCTCCACTGTGGGGGATGCAGAGCAGATCTTTGGCAGAGAAAAATAAGCCCGTCATCAAACTACAAATCCCAGCATCCCCTTGCATAGAACCAGGGCAGTTAAAGTGCAATTAAACTGTTGTTAACTGTGTTGTGTAGCTGGGAATTGTGTGGCTCCTTAAAGGCGGCTTTCCTATGTCCTTAATACAGTATCCATGCTTCTTGATTTCTGCGTTGATAACGTGTCACATCTTTATTTTACCCTAACATTGAAGCCAGTGTGGTATGTGGTGTTCCGAGGTGGCCACCCGGCCTGTCCTTGACCAGGGCCAAACTTTGCTTAGTTTTGAAAGGTGGGTTGTGTTTACTGTCGGTCCTCCAGGTCTTTTGAATGCCAAGTGCCTCAAAGCTCTCTAGTCCTCATAGCCAACCACAAGGGATTCTGGGAGCTGATGTTTAAAACATCTGGAAGCCCCAACTAGTGTGTTGCGTCACGTACCGCCAATCAGAGATCTTATACAGCTTGGATAAGTTACTTTTCTGGACTACAACCCTCAGAAGCTTATGCTGGCCAGAGGATTGTGTTGGATGTGAACCCAGAAAGATGTCCTTAATACAGTATCCATGCTTCTTGACTTCCGCGATTGTGTTGGGTGTGAACCCAGAAAGTAACATTTCCAAGCTCTGCATCTGGTCATCATTATCATCATCCTTTGAGAACTGCAGGGGTGGAAGGGACCCGATGGATCATCCAGTCCAGCCCCTGTAAAGGAAGCCCTGTGGGGGAATTCGAACTCCCAACCTCTGGCTTCGCAGTTAAACATGTACGGTAAACCACTGAGCTATCGCATGCAGAATGCAAAGGGTCACTTTCTGCTTTCCTGTTCCTTAAGGAGTTGGAGCTGGTGGAGGACGTCTGGCGAGGGGAGGCCCAAGATCTCCTCACACAAATTGCGCAGCTGCAGGAGGAAAACAAGCAGCTGATGACCAACCTCTCCCACAAGGACCTCAACCTGTCGGAGGAAGAGTTTCAGAAGCATGAAGGTGAGTGGGCCGGTTGGGCCGTGCAGGTATCTGACCGCCATGAAGGTTCCCCGCCTTAGAGGCAGAAAGCAGAGTTTGGGAATGTTCTGTTGTGGGATTACACCACCCAGTATCCTCCCATCAGCATGGCCCCTGGGGGATTATGGGAGTCGTAGTTCCCAAAATGTCTGGAAGATAACAGAAGGAAAAGCAGAATGGAAGAGTCACAGGGTTGACAAGGGGGTGGGTGGTAGGGAATGGGGCCAGTCTCTCGAACCCATCCACAGAATTATCTCTAATAAAAACAACAACAAAGCTGATGATGATGGCGATGATGATTCAAAAATACCAGACACAGTCAATCAAAATGATAAAAAAAAACAATGACTGGTATTTATATGATGGATACAAGTTGTAACCAAAAACCTAAGACTCTATTATTATTAGATTATTCTTGTTATATTAAGGAGGATTCTGTGGATGATGTCCTGATGGGATTTGTGTTTCATCACCTGTTTTTGATTTCTTAAACTCCGACTACCACCTACGGCGTTGAGCTGCAGGCCTCATCTTTCACATAGAATGTATTGGTTTGTGTGAAAATAGCCTTCGTGGCAAAGCAGCGGGGTTGTAGCAGGTGCGGATTGACTCTGGAGGAGTTGGGAGTAGAGAGGAGTTATTCTCGGCAGTCACGAGTTTATTTTATTTATTTATTTGGCTTTTATACTGCCCATCTAGACGAATCGAACTCCCAACCTTCAGCTCCGCAGCCAGAGACAGAAACCACTAAGCTATCCAGCCAGTATCTTCTCAGTCTACAAGTCCCAATAAATATCAAGTTCATGATTTAGAGTCATGACAACAGCCTGGTGAGGTAGACCAGGCTGAGAGGAAGCCACTAGCCAAAGTTTACCAGGGAGTTTAGTCTCTGAGTGGAGATGAACCCTTAGATTTCCCAAATGCTAGTACATATACACAGTACTGGCTGCTTTGCCTTTTTCTGTTTAACGAAGTTCTGAAAGTAAATATGAGTCAGGATCATCAAGCCAGGCAGGCTAAGGGCTTTGGTCACGGAAGGAAGTAGACCAAACAAGCTTAAGAGGAATCTCAAGGAGTCACACACCAGAAAATGAAGAAGGTGCTGGGCTTCAAAAATAAAAGTGGTTTGCTATCCTCCAGGAGTCCTACGAAGGCAGGTAACCTTTTTTCGGGATGGGAGGAGCCAGGTCTGCTTTCGCACACCTGGTTTAGAGAGCCCTTTGCGGCCACCACACCTTCATCTTGTTAAAAGAATCAAAGAAAATCTTTTACTTTTGAGATGATGAACTCTGTCTCCTTGACACCGTTGGCAACTTCAGGTTTGGGCAACTTGTTTGTATTGTCTTTTTATCTTCTTAGTAATGGAAAGGGATCTTTATTTCTTTATTTAAAAAACAAACACAAATTCTTTGGTCTGTTTCAGTCTTTTAGTTCTGAGTAAACTTAAGGACGCTTTGCTTAGCACGAGGAATTGTGTTGCACCACACAGGCCTCCTCAGCCGGCAGAATTTTTTAGCAAGTGTGTACAGCTTCTTTGCCTGAAACATATTTGAATTCCATATGTGTTGGGTTGCCACCTTTTTTTTAAAAAAAGGCTCCTACATCTTCAGCAATCTAGGTGTTTTCTGAAGTACCCCCTGTTGAAAGAGTGGGGGACTTGTAGCTCTCCAGGGGTTGACTACAACTTCCATCATTCTCCATGTGGGCTTACATCTGGAGGTTCCTCATAACTTCCAGGTGAATGGGTATTAAGATGATGAATTTCTGCCTGCCAAGCATTTGGGCCAAAATTTAGGAGCCCAGCCAGAAAAAAAATATGGTCACAAACACGGTGTTGTCAAGAGCGCTCCTTCACAGGAGAAATGAAGCCGCCCCTGCTTGCTGACCCTGGCTGTTTCTCTCTCTCTTTTTCTTTGTATTTTTCTTTTATTTTATGTTTTAATTCCAGGAATGTCAGAAAGGGAAAGGCAAGTGATGAAAAAGCTGAAGGAAGTGGTGGATAAACAAAGGGATGAAATCAGAGCAAAGGACAAAGAGCTTGGACTTAAAAATGAAGACGTGGAAGCTGTACGTGCCTTGTTTTCTTCCCTCTCCTTCCACTTTGGGAAAAATTCTGAAGTAACGCGAAGTCATTTTTAAGGTTATGGGCTAATTCCTATAACTATATACTGGCCATAACAACAAATGCATAAGGGCTACACTTACATCACGAGCTTTGAGCCATTACAATATCTATGTATTTGTTATATGCTGCTTTATTTATCTACTTATATGCTGCTTTATTTCTATACTTATATGCTGCTTTATATCATCCACTGGGCCCAAAGCAATGGGCTTGGCTCTCCCCTTCCTGTTTTATGTGTACAACAACCCTGTGAGGTAGATCAGGCTGAGAGATGGTGACTAACCCATGATAACTAAATGTAGTACAGGAGTTTTCGAGAACAGTTCTCCTCAGTGGCATTTGGTAGAGGATGGAGCTTCCATATTTAGAAGCAGTATATCTCAGAGTACCAGATATTAGAAGCAGATAACCAAGATGGCTAGCTCTGGAGAAGTTGCTTTTTTTAAGACTCCAGTACACAGAATTCCTAGGAATTCTGGGAAACATCAAAACAACTGCCGAAAAAAAAAAAACAGTATTTTTTTTCAGCTCAAGGGTGTTTGGAACATTAGATGCTGGTGAAGTTTTCTGGGGCGCAAGATGGACATTATGTTTGAATTTGTAAGGCAATCCTTAAAGGACATAATTTCTCTTTATTAACTGATTTTACCAGTACATATTAAGCAAGTAAAAAAGAGTGTTAGGAGATTCTGCAAAGTTTGGGCTGCAGTGCATAAATAGAATAACTTTTAAAAAATCCTGAAATGTCGAGATGTTTGTAGCTAACCTATCCACCCGGTTATCTCCTTTTTGCCTTCATTTTGGTTCTGCCTTCATAAAGCACACCTTTGGTCATTGAACAGAGATGGCTGATCCCTTCCTTGCCCCCTTTCTGACTTTTTTTTTCCCATGCAGCTTCAGCAGCAGCAA